AAGTTTAGCACAAATTAAGTCTGACTTGGAAAAACCGATCAAAAACCGATCGATATCTCAAAAAATTATGAATATAAATTTTAAGCAGAGATTTGTAATTTTTGGAACATTTTACGTTTGAAATACTTAATTTTTGTTGTTTTGTTGTTTTTTCTTATGCAATTTTGAAGTAAATGAAAAAAGTTTTGCACAAATTAGGTTTGACAAAAAAATTACCAAACGTCTCAAAAACTAAAGATTTTTTACAAAGTTTGAGTACAAATTCGTAATGTTTATGTTATTCTGTGTTACAAACACTTGTTTTTTCAAGTTTCTTATGCAATTTTTCAGACAATTGGGAAAGTTTTGTACAAACTAGGTTTGACAAAAAAATGATCAAAAATCGGCCAAAATATTTAAAACAAATAATTTTTTCAAAGTCTGAGTACAAATTCGTAATCGTCATGTCATTCTACGTTACAAATAAACACCTGTTTTTTCTCAAGTGTCTTAAGTATGTTTAAAGAAAATTGTGAAATTTTGAACAAATTATAAATTTCACTTAAAAAATACCAAAAATAGGTTTAAATTGATGACTTTTTCGTCATTCGTATTGCTGTGTTACAAACAGTTCTTTTTTCAAGTGTCTTATGCATTTTTTCAGAAAATTGGACAAATTTTGTTTGATCAACAAAAATACTCAATATCTCAAAAACTAACACTGTATACAAAATTTGAATACATAAGTCGTAATCCCCTTGTCATTATACATTAGAAATATTTGTATATTTTTTATTTTCTTATACAGTTTTTAAGATAATTGAAAAGTTTTGCACAAATGAAGTCTGACTTGAAAAAACCCAAAAAAATTGGCCGATATCTCAAAAACTAATCCATACATATAAATTTTGAGCATAGATTTGTAATTTTTGTAATATTTCACGTTAGAAACCCTTATTTTATTTTATTTTTATTTTATTTGTATTTTTACGCAGTTTGAAGAAAATTAGAAAAGTCTTGCACAAATTAGGTTTGACAAAAAATTATCAAAAATCGGCCAAAATATTAAAAACAAATAATTTTTTCAAAGACTCAGTACAAATTCGTAATTTTCATGTCATTCTACGTTACAAATAAATACCTGTTTTTTTCAACTTTTTTAAGTAAGTTTAAAAACAAATTTTGAAAAAACTAAATTTTACTCAAAAAATACCAAAGATAGGTCTATATCTTAAAAAGTAATACATTTTATGCATAGATTTGTGATCTTTGTGTTATTTTACGTTAGAAACATGTTCGTTTTTTATTTTTTTACCTAATTTTTGAGAAAATTGGAAAAGTTTCTCGGAAACAAAGTTTAACAAAAAACTTATTATAAATTGGCCTATATCTCAAAAAATTAGTTATCATTGATGTATACAAAATTTGAATACATATTCTTAATCCTTTTGTCATCAAAGGTTAGAAACATTTGTTTATCTTTCATTTTCTTATAAAGGTTTTCAAGAAAATTGAAAAGTTTCGCACAAAATAAGTTTGACTTGAAAAAAACAAACAAAAAATTGGCTGATATCTCAAAAACTAATCCAAACCTATAAATTTAAATTATAAATTTGACAAGAAAATTAATCAGAAATCGGCCAAAACCTTAAAAACAAATAATTTTTTCAAAGTCTGAGTACAAATTTGTAATGTCATTCTACGTTAAAAACACTTGTTTTTTTCAAGTTTCTTAAGTCAGTTTATAGAAAATTGGAAACGTTTTGAACAAGCTTTTGACTCAAAAAATATCAAAAATCGGCCTATATCTCAAAAAGTATCTAATACCTACATGTATAAAAATTTTAGGCATACATATTTGTAATCTTTGTATTATTTTAAGTTGGAAACATTTGTTTTGCCTTGATTTTCCTATAAAGTTTTCAAGAAAATTGCAAAAGTTTTGCACAAATTAAGTTTGACAAAAAAATCACCCAAATTTGGTCTCAATTTCAAAAACTAATCATTTTTTACAAATCGGAGTACAAACTCCTAATCTTCATGTTATTCTACGTGGCAAACACCTGTTTTTCCTCAAGCTTTTTAATAAATGTGGAAATGTTTTGTACGAATTAAGTTTGACTAAAGAAAAATAGCAAAAATCGGCCTATATCTTAAAAATTAATCATTTTTTTTACAAAGTCTGAGTATAAAATCGTGATCTTTGTGTTATTATGTTACAAACGCCTGTTTTTTTCAAGTTTTTTTATGGAATTTTTAAGAAAATTGGAAAAACATTCTTCAAATTAAGTTTGATCTAAAAAAATACTAAAAATCGGTCTATATCTCAAAAAGTTACACATCTGTATAACTTTCAAGCACAGATTTGTAATCTTAGTGTCTTACATTATAATCATCTATGTCTATGTCTAAGTTTACAAAAAAAATTGGAGAAATCAGTCAATTCTCAAAAATTCAAGTGTCTTTCAGGACCAATCAAAAAAGTCAATTTTCGATTTGACTCACCTTCAACGCTACTAAAGCCACAATAGACGTGACCCCCAGCACCGTATCCCATTTCCTCACTTGTGAAAAATTCTCAAAAACACTCGTCCAACTCTCGAGAAAATTGCCGTTTTTTCCCGGAATTCCAAACAAACTTTTGAGCTGCGAGGACGCAATTTGGAACGATCCTCCACATATAAAGCCGGCTATGATCGGATACGAGAAAAACTGAATAACGAAACCTGAAACTCAAGGTCAAACCTCGCCAACCAGTCTCCCAACTCACCCAAATGCATGACTCCAAGACAGAAAATGATAATTCCGGAGATAAAAGTCATGAGTGTGGAGGCGTCGGGGCCCATGGAGGCCACATGGGGCTGCAGCATGAGCGAGAGGATGGACGTGGGGCCAATATTGAGGTCTTTACAGCCCCCAAAAATAGCGTAGATGAAGCCGTCGATGAGGCCGGAGTAGAGTCCATATTCCGGGGGAAGGCCAGCCACGATCGCGTAGGCTATGCCTTGAGGGATTTCAGTCATGCCAACTGTGATCCCGGCGAGGAGGTCTTGAAACAGGGTTGGGAGGGTGTAGAGAGGGAGCCATTTTGTGATAGGGATGCGAGTGTTGAGGAGGTGTTTGTAGCGTTTGACTGAAATTGAGGCTTCAGGACCGGTTTTGAGGACGTTGAGTTTACCTGTCATCGTGGAACACTGGGAGTTTGCCAATTTGGGGAGTTTCTTATCTTTGATTTTTTCAACACACGTGATAATAATAAACTAATGAGGTTTTATGGTGGAGGATTAGAACGAAATGAAGGTTGTTTTGTTACAAAACCGGTATTTGGTTTTATTTCCGCGTGATTTTAACGTTATTATCATTCCACGTTTGGTGCTGGATTTGTGAGATGATGAGTGAATGATGAGTCATGCTGAAAAACAAGAATTCGGATTGTGAATTAATGAAGTGGAAGAGGAAGTTTGAGACTGGGATCAATTTTTTTATTTTTATTATGATAGATATCGACAAGTAGACAAAATCATATTGTTGTAATTCTAATAACAAACAACATGAGGATTACTAATCTGTGATTAAAATTTTCTTATAATGACTACTTTTTAAGATATCGACCGATTTGTGATTTATTTTCTCAAAAATTTTGACATGTCGAAAATAGGATTTTGGTACTTTTTACACAACAAATAAAGCGGTAATTGTCAAAGAAAGTCAAATGTAAGACCACAAAATACTTACATCTGCCACAATTCGTTTTTTTTTAATCCAAAACTCAAAAATTCTTCTAAGGTTTATTTTCAGGAAATGTTTCTAATTTTCTTTAAAGGTAATTAAAAACACAACCTTTACGATTCTAAAATCAGATTTGGGTTTTAGAAATTTGTTTTTATGTTATGCAGGTCAGGTAAAACCAAGCATCAGGAAAAAAGTTATTTAGACAATTATCTGAAAAATTAATTAAATTTTACAGTTATTGTCAGAATGTAAGCAAACAGAATTCAAGAAAGGCTAAAGTTTGTAGCATCCGGCCCACATTTTTTTCCTAAAGGGAACTTTTGAAAAATATGATTTAAACTCAATTTGAACAAAATATTTTAGTTTTTTTTTTATTGAAAATTGAGCCAAACTGGACCATCTAAAAGTTTCTAGATATCCAGTTGGATATTTTGAAGGATTTCAAAAAATGAAGTTTTTGGAATTTAAACCGAGCACGAACTTTAAGAGCTAAAAGGACTTCAAGTAGGCAAACTATACTTTTCTAATCTTAATAAACTTTTGAAAATAGGATATTGAGTAAAAGTGATGGTTTATTATGTGGTGAAGCTAAACGTTTATTAAAAAACTTACTTAGTTTAACTAGTGCTTGATTAGTGCAGTTGGTAGTATAAAATATCGAATGCTGATGATCTACAATGTATAATGGTAAATGTTACGGTAAAAACACTTTAGCAAAAAAACTGAATTTTTATTGCATGCTTAAAAGGGAAAACTTTTAGTTGGATCAACTAGTCATAAAAATGTCACTTTAGTGACATTTACTGATAAAAATAGTTTGCACAAAAAATTCTTAATTTTTTTATTTATTTATATTAAGTAGTTTTTATTTTTAAAATATACCTAAGTTGAATCCTGATTTGTAAAGTAACAAAGAGAATAATTAGAAAATAGACATTTTAAAACTTTTTTGAAAAGCAAATACAAATTTAAATGATTTTAAAAGTTTTGTAACGTGTGAGTGCAAAAAGTTTTAATTCAAATTTAATTTAAAAACACTAATTATTTTAAAAAATTGCATTTTTTAAAACTTGCGTAAGAAAATTTAAAACATAAGCTTTTCTAATGTAAAAGAATTGCGAATTTGTACTTAGATTTTACATACAATGATTAATTTTTTACATGCAGACTGATTTTTTTAGATATTAGCCGGTTTTTTCAAAAAAATTTTGAGTCAAACGTAATTTGCACAAAACTTTTCTAATTTTCTTAAAAACTGCATAAGAAATTTAAAAAATCAAGCGTTTCTACTATAAAATAACATAAGGATTACAAGTTTGGAATCAGATTTTCAAAAAAAAAAACTAGTCATAAAAATGTCACTTTAGTGACATTTACTGATAAACATGGTTTGCACAAAAAATTCTTAATTTTTTTGAAAATATTTGAGAAAGTAAAAAGAAATCAGATGACTTTAGAATTGAGAATTTGTATTATTTATTTATATTAAGTAGTTTTTATTTTTAAAATATAAGTTAAATCCTGATTTGTAAAGTAACAAAGAGAATAATTAGAAAATAGACACTTTAAAACTTTTTTGAAAGGCAAATACAAATTCAACTGATTTTAAGAGTTTTCAAACGTGTGAGTGCAAAAAGTTTTAATTCAAAATTTAATTTAAAAACACTAATTATTTTCAAAAAAAAACATGAATTTTTTGCAATTCTCGTAAGGTTTGTTTAAAAAATTAGACCAAAATAAGTTTTTTTTAGATAAATTGAGTCAAAGAATACGATTCTGACTTGCAAACTGAGTACGATTACTGATATGTAATTTTCAAGATATTGAGCGAGTTATACTTTGGAATAATAAAAAAATTAGCTATTTATATTTGATCAGACTTAAAATCAATATTCGAGTGATCTAATAGATAATTTTCATTAATCGTACAATGGATATTGTAGTGTCGGCACTTGACAACTTATCTTAGACAATGATAAACACCAAATCGAGGACAAAAATATTTATTGCATATTTTTCAAAATCTCACTTAAATCACTCTCTACAAAATATTTCTGCAAGTTTTTATCAACTCGGATGCAAGTTTGGATCACTGATGGTTTAAAATTGTGCAAAATCGGATTTTGGTTTTTCTCTACTAATTCTCGCACTAAAACAGCCAAACTCTGCAATAAAAAATTGAAAATAACAAAATTCTAGTAAAATTTGTACCAACCTTTGCTACGGTTACGTCAATATTTCTTATTTCTTTCCCATTGACCACCATAGTGGCATTTTCCCCTTCACAGGCCAAAATCATATCTCTCAAATACTCAGCAGCTGGAAAATACAAAGTGTCTTTGGGAGTAATAACAAAAATTTCACCCCGAGTATTTTTTTCTTCAGTTATGATGAGTTTTGGTCGAGCACTGCCATACAAAACAAAGAGTAAATTAACTCCAATTCCGATCAAAATTCCATATTCGAGACTAATAAAAAGACAGCAGAGAAGAGTCGTCAAAAATGGTACCAAATCAAGCTCTGAAACGCCAAAATACAATACGGGTTTTTGGTACCATTTGGTACCATACTTTTTGACTTCCAAAGTACGACAAACGCATCAAAATCGAATAAGTAAAACATTGCACATATAATAACAGAAGCAAGGGACGCTTTTGGTACATATGAAAAAGTCGGTGTCAAAAATGCTATAGCTAGGAGCGCCAAAATCGAGGTTATAACACCACCAAATGGGGTTTTAACCCCTGCTGAGTTATTAACAGCAGTCCTGGTAAAAGACCCAGTGATGGGCATTGACCGAACGAAAGAACCCGCGATATTGGCCAGACCTAAGGCCAACATTTCTTGTGTGGCGTCCAAAGCTTTGCCTTTGGCTGAAACACTTCAGTAAAAATTTTGGTCAAAATGACAAAAAAACGTACAAAAGGCTTTCCCGATTGACACGGCTTCAAGGATTGCAACCAATGGTAAAGAAATAAGAGTTGTGCCAAAATGTTGGGCAATGGTACTGAAATTGTATGAAGTTCCGTTGAAAGTTGGGTCAAATGGAGGCGGTTCCAGGGGCGGAAACCCGGCTTTTACCTCACCTGAAACTTTTCAGTACCGTTCAAAAAAAGTGGAGTACTCACCTGTGATTTTGAAAGGGGGATTTTGGCCGAAATTATACGAAATAACTGTTCCTATAATGACTATAATTGCATTTCGGGCTAGAGACACCATAAAGATGACAATTCCCAAAACATTGCGATTTTTTGACCACTCTGATTTGTATTTCAATGTTCCGAATTTTTGGACCTCCTGAAACTATTTTAGTACCATTTTCTGGTCCCCCTCAAATCAAATAACCTTCAAAATGACCAAAACTAGGATCGAGACGAGTCCCAAAACCGTATCCCACAATTTAATTTCATCCAAATTGTCAAAAACAGCCTCCCAGGCGTCCAAAAACCCATCTGCTTTGCCTGGAATCCCAAACAAACTCTTGATTTGAGTTGACCCAATCTGTAAAGAGGCGGCACACGTGAATCCCGCTATGACCGGATACGAAAAAAACTCAATCACGAAGCCTGAAAACCTAGGTTTTGTTACAGTTTACCCAAATTTTGCTCCTACCTAGATGTAGTAATCCTAGGAGAAAAATTATTACTCCTGATAGAAAACAGGCCAAAACAGCAACATCTGGCCCAAATTTCCCCACATAAGGTTGGACGAGTAAACAGAGGATGCTTGTGGGTCCGATGTTGATGTCTTTGCTGCTTCCAAAGAGGGCGTAGATGAAACCACCCATGAACGCCGAGTATAGCCCATATTCGGGGGAGAGACCTTGAAAAATGGATTATTTTTGAGAAATTTTCAAGTTTTGAGGTACCTGCGACGACGGCATAAGCGATAGCTTGAGGTATTTCGGTCAAACTGACTGTAAATCCGGCCAAAAGGTCGTGGAAGAAAGTTGAGGTTTTGTACTGAGGCAACCAAGTGGTTATGGGGAGGCGTTTGAGGAAGATGTGTTTGGAACTAGGCATTTTGAGGACTGACTCAGGTCAGGCATGAATGCAATTTTGATCAAGTGGCCACTTGTGATAAGATTTTTACTTCATTTATAAATAGGATTGTGTGTCAATGTTCGAGTTTTTTTGCAAAGTGTTCTACTCAGAATTTTTTTGTTGAAGCTCATCTGAGAAAAAGTTTGCACCGGATGTGTTTCTAAAATAAAATAGTCTAAGGATCACAGAACTAGAATTAATTTTTTTGCAATAATTTCTTTTTTGAGTTATCGGCCGTTTTTCCAAATCAGACCTTTGCAAACACTTTCCAATTTTTTAAAACTTGCGTAAGAAAATTAAAAACATAAGCTTTTCTAATGTAAAAGGATTGCAAATTTGTACTCAGATTTTACATACAATGATCAGTTTCTGACATTCAGACTGATTTTTTCTTGAATTTTTGGATTGTTGGTGTTTTTTGTCAAACCCAATTTGTGCAAAACTTTCACAAACTATTAAAAAAAGCTGGCGTTTCTTATATAGAATAGCACAAGAAACTTTAAAAAGCACAGTTTTGTACTCAAATTTTCTTAAAAATATTAGTTTTTGGTAGTTTTTTTGTAGAACTTAATTTGTAGAAAACTTTTCTTGATTTTTTTTTTTCAAAATGAAGTAAGAAATCTAATTGTGAACATGCTTTTCTGATTTAAAATGACACAGGGATTACAAATCTGTACTCATATTTTATATGCAAACTTTATTTTTTAAGATATTAGCCGGTTTTTCAAAAAAAATTAAGTCAAACGTAATTTATACAAAACTTTTCCAATTTTCTTAAAAAATGCACAAGAAACTTTAAAAAACAGGCGTTTTTAAAATAGAATGACACAAGGATTACAGGTTTGTAACCAGATTTAAAAAAAAAAGTAGTTTTCTTTAAATAAAGACCAATTTTTGGTACTTTTGTTGTAAAATTTAATTTATTTAAAACTTTTCCAATTTTCTTAAAAACCGAGAAAGAAAATCAAATGTAAATATGTATTTCTGACTTAAAATGACACAGGAATTAAAAATCGTATTTTATATGGAAAATTAAGTTTTTGAGATATCAGCCGGTTTCTGGATTTTTTTTGAGACAAACTTAATTTGTGTAAAACTCTAATTTTTTTAAAAACTGCATAAGAAACTTAAAAAATCAAGCGTTTCTAATATAAAATGACAGAGGGATTACAATGTTGTAATCAGATTTTCAAAAAAAAAATAGTTTTTGAGTTAAAGGCCGATTTTTGGTAGTTTTATTATTAAATTTCATTTATGGAAAGCTTTACCAATTTTCTAAAAAAACGAGAAAGAAAATCATATGTAAATATGTATTTCTGACTTAAAATGACACAGGAATAAAAAATGTGTACTCGGATTTTATATGCAAAGTTAAGTTTTTGAGATATCAGCCGCTTTTTGGAATTTTTTTTAAGACAAACTTAATTTGTGCAAAACTTTACCAATTTTTTTTAAAAACTGCAAAAGAAATTTAAAAAAATCAGGCGTTTCTACTATAAAATGACATAAGGATTACAAGTTTGTAATTAGATTTTCAAAAAAAAAATAATTTTTTAGATAACAGCCGATTTTTGGTAGTTTTTTTTATTAAATTTAATGAATGGAAAATGTTACCAATTATCTTAAAAGAAAGAAAATCAAATGTAAATATGTATTTCTGACTTAAAATGACTCAGAATTTTAAAATCTGTACTTTATTTTATATGCAAAGGTTAGTTTTTGAGATATCAGCCGATTTTTGGAATTTTTGTTTGAGTTAAACTTACTTTGTGCAAAACTTCGCCAATTTTTTTAAAAACTGCATAAGAAACTTAAAAAAGCATGCTTTTCTAATATAGACAGACACAAGGATTACAGGTTTGTAATCAGATTTTGAAAAAAAATATAGTTTTTGAAATAAAAACCAATTTTTGGTAGTTTTGTTTTTAAATTTAATTTATTTAAAACTTTTCCAATTTTCTTAAAAACGAAAAAGAAAATCAAATGTAAATATGTATTTCTGACTTAAAATGACACAGAAATTAAAAATCTGTACTCGGATTTTAAATGCAAAGTTATATTTTTAAGATATCAGCCGGTTTTTGGAATTTTTTTTGAGACATAACATAATTTGTGCAGTACTTCACCAATTTTTTTAAAGACTGCATAAGAAACTTAAAAAATCAAGCGTGTCTAATATAAAATGACATAAGGCTTACAGGTTGTTTGTAAGCAAATTTTGAAAAAAAAAATTTTGAGAAAAAAGCCGATTTTTGGTAGTTTTGTTATTAAATTTAATTTATGATAAACTTTTCCAAATTTTTTTAAAAACCAAGAAAGATAATCAAATCTAAATATGTAATTTTGACTTGAAATGACAGGGTTTAAAAATCTATTTCCGGATTTTATATGCAAAGTTTAGTTTTTGAGATATTAGCCCGTTTTTGGAATTTTTGTTTGAGTGAAACAAAAGGGTCATAAAATAAAACACAAAATACATAAAAAATAGTTTTAATTAATTGTGTTACAATACTATTGTATTGATAATATAGGTTCATCATCTGAAATGATCAAAGTAGAACAAATTATCATTGTTCTAATTACTTACTTTCAACAATCTCATCTAAAGGCCCTTCTGCAAAATATTTTTGTAAACTGAGATCAACTTTAACACAAACTTCTACTACTGATGGTTTAAAATCCAAGAAAATCACTTTTTGTCCCCTCTCTACTATTTCTTGAGCAAAAACAGCCATACTCTAGCAAAAAAATCTAAAAAAAAGATCAAAAACAGAACCACACTTACCTTTGCTACAGTGACGTCTACATTTCTTATTTCTTTTCCATTGACCACCACAGTGGTATTTTCCCCTCCGCAGGCCAAAACCACGTCTCTCAAATACTCAGCAGCTGGGAAATACAAAGTGTCTTTCGGGGTAACCACAAAAGTCTCTCCTCGAGAATCTGAGATTTTTTCTTTAGTTATGATGAGTTTTGGTCGAGCACTACCATACAAAACAAAGAGTAAATTAACTCCAATTCCGATCAAAATTCCATATTCGAGACTAATAAAAAGACAGCAGAGAAGAGTCGTCAAAAATGGTACCAAATCAAGCTCTAAAATGCCAAAATAAAATACGGGTTTTTGGTACCATTTGGTTCCGTACTTTTTGACCTCCAAAGTACGACAAAAGCGTCATAGTCGAATAAATAAAACATTCCACAGATAATCACAGAAGCAAGGGTTGCTTTTGGTACGTAGTAGAACGAAGGGGTGAGGAAACCTATAGCTAGTAGTACCATAGCTGAGGTGAAAATCCCAGCAAGGGGTGTTTTAACCCCTGAAGCGTTATTAACAGCAGTTCGGGTAAAAGACCCAGTGATGGGCATTGACCTAACGAAAGAACCCATGACGTTGCAAAGCCCCAAGGCTAACATTTCTTGGGTGGCATCCAATGGTTTACCTTTGGCTACAAAAAGGGTCAAAATTTTGGCCAAAAAGACACAAAAACGTACAAAAAGCCTTGGCAATTGACACCGCTTCCAGAATCGCAACCAATGGGATGAAAGCAAGGGATGGTCCGTAATTTTGTACCATGTCACCGAAACTGTAGTCAGTACCATTGACTTTGGTTCTAAATGGTGGTGGTTCAAAGGGCGGAAACCCACTTTTGACATCACCCGTGATTTTAAAAGGGTTGTCATCCCTTAAACTGTACGAAATGACAGTTCCTATAATCACCACTAAGGCGTTTCGTGCCAACGACAGCATAAACAAAAAAATCCCTAAAATATTCCGATTCCTGGACCAGTCTTGTCGGTATTGCAACGTCCCAAATCTCCTGATTTCCTTCAAACTGATCAAAAAAATGATCGAGAGGAGGCCCAAAACACTATCCCAGAGTCGTATTTTATCAATATTGCTGAACACCGCCTCCCAGGCTTCCAAAAAAGCGTTGGCTTTGCCCGGAATCCCGAAAAGTCCTTTCACTTGGGATGAGGCGATTTGGAGAGAGGCTGCACATGTGAAACCAGCGATTATCGGATAGGAGAAAAACTCGATGACGAAACCTGAAATCTGGGGATTAAGTTGGGATTAAGACAAGTTGGTTATTACCCAAGTTTAGTAATCCAAGAACAAAGATTATAATCCCTGCGAGGAAGGTTATGGTGATTGCCATGTCAGGGCCTAGCTCTGAGACGTGGTCTTGAAGCATCAAAGCCATGATGGAGGTGGGGCCGATATTGACGTCTTTGCAACTGCCGAAAAGGGCGTAGACAAATCCGCCCATGAAACCGCAATAGAGGCCATATTCGGGGCTTAGACCTGATACCAAAAATATTGACAATTTGATAAATGTTGAAATCAAGATAAGAAATCGGAAAATTTTTGGAAAACTTGGGAAAGTGTGGTATTTTCAAATTTGCACCAAACATTTAGAAATTTCATCTAAAGCAAAAAATTGCAAAAAATGTGATTTTTTGAACTTAGACTAAGTTTCCACAAAAAGTTTCTATTTTTTTCAATAAATGTATTAAAATAAGTGCTTCTAACGTAAAATCATATAAATCTGTAATTAAATTTTTATCATAAAAATTTGTTTTTAAAATAAGCCAATTTTTAGTCATACTTTAAACTAATGCAAATCAGTATTTTTGAGACACTTAAAAAGATTATGTTGAAGACAATCAACACAAAAATATTTACAAAAACTTAAATTTTGGCTTAAAACAGTGCGATAACAGTTGAAATCAAGATAAGAAATCGGAAAATTTTTGGAAAACTTGGGAAAGTGTGGTATTTTGAAATTTACTCCAAACATTTCAAATCTTCTTGAATATCGTGTACTAAAATTATTGATGTAGTCAAAAACCAATATTTTCGGAAAAACAGATTTATTTTTAACTAATTAAATTATAGTCAAACAAAAATCTATAAAAACTCAAATATTTAGAACAGTTCTAATCATGCTTTGTCTAGTCCAAAATTTTCAAAAAAGAATTTTTTTTCAAATCAAACTGAATTTAAAAAACTTTTCACATTTTTTAGAACATTAGGTGGAAATCTTTGCTTCTTTAAGATTCTGTGATCAGATTTACTCGTAAATTTTAAGAATCAGTTTTTGAAATATCAATTCTTAGGCCAAGCTTCCAAAACCTCATCTTTTGAAAAACAGCAATTTTGAGGTTTTCTGAAAAGTATGTTTAATCTAACCTAGTTTAATTAGATTAAATCAGTAAATTATATTCCGACAAAAATCTGCAAAAACTGAGGTATTTATTAGAACAGCTCAAATTTTACCTTTTTTAATCGGAAATCGCAACTTTTTTTGAGATCGACCTCTGAGTTCTAAAGCAAAAAAATTAAAAAATAACGCAATTTAGACTTAAGTTTCCACAAAAAGTTTCTAATTTTCTCAAAAAAATGTTTTAAAGTAAGTGCTTCTGACGTAAAATCTATAATTGAATTTTTATCATAAAAATTTTGTTTTAAGATATAGACCAATTTTTAGTCATATTTCAAAAAAAAATAGTCATGTGCAAACTAGTGTTTTTGAAACACTTTAAAAGAATTTTGTTGAAAAAATCAACACAAAAATATTTACTAAAATTAAAAAGTTAAAATTATAGAAATCAAATAATGTCAAATTTGTTAAAAAAAACAATTGATTTTTTTAAAATTTAGTTTAATTAGATTATAATAGAAAAGTAGAAAGGCTCATATATGTAGTACAATTCAAACTTTATTTTTTTAAACGTCGAAAACAAAAATAATTTGAGAAACTTGTGATATTTTTTCAACTCATACTTTGCTTTCACAAAAACATTGTAATTTTAAAAAAAATTGTACTATAAAATATATATTTCTAACGTAAAATCACAGTGGAGTTATAAATTTGTAAGTAATTGAATTTTTATCACAATAATTAGTTTTTGAGATAGTGACATAGACAACAACAACAACATGTTTTTGAAAGGTATAAAATAAGGTCTCAAGTACTGAATTATATTATAGATAATAATTCAACAAAAAATTATTTAAAATAAAAACTTAAAACTTAAAATTTGACAAAACAAAATGTTAAAGCCCCAAAAAAAATTAATTTTTCTAAATATCGTTTGATGAAATTTGGTAAAAAACCACTGCTTCTGATGGGAATTTGACAAGGATTACGATGTTGCACACAGATTATAATTTTGGAGATTATTTTTTACGATATGGACCAATTTTTAATTTAAACTGGTCAAAAGAAAAGAGCCGAAAAACGAAATTATTTCTAAATCCATAAATTATATTGACACAAAAATTTGTAAAAGCTCAGATATTTATAACAACTCAAGTTTTACCTTTTTTAATCCTAAATATTCAAACACGCATTTTTTTCAAATCGAATTTTGAGTTCTAAAGCAAAAAATTGCAAAAATGCGATTTTTTGAACTTAGACTAAGTTTCCACAAAAAAAATCTATTTTTTTCCAGCAAATGTATTAAAATAAGTGCTTCTAACGTAAAATCATATAAATCTGTAATTAAATTTTTATCATAAAAATTTGGTTTTAAAATAAGCCAATTTTTAGTCATACTTTAAGAAAAAATCAGACTAAGGCAAATCAGTGTTTTTGAGACACTTAAAAAGATTATGTTGAAGACAATCAACACAAAAATATTTACAAAAACTTAAATTTTGGCTTGAAACAGTTAAAATTTAAGTAAAAAACTTTCAAATTTGCAAAAAAAAAATTTCTGGAATCAGCTGATGTACTCGTAAAATGTGTACGATGTTGTAGACACTTAGATATTTTAATTTTGAAAATAAGTTTTCGTACATGATGCAAAAAACAAAATTATTGTGAAACCAGTAGATTAAATTCCGACAAAAATCTTCAAAAAATCAGGTATTTATAAGAACAGCTCAAATTTTAACTTTTTTAATCCGAAATCGCAACTTTTTTTGAGATCGAACTCTGAGTTCTAAAGCAAAAAAATTCAAAAATAACGCGATTTTTTTTTCAATTTAGACTTAAGTTTCCACAAAAAGTTTCTAATTTTCTTAAAAAATGTTTAAAGTAAGTGTTTCTGACGTAAAATCTATAACTAAATTTTTATCACAAAAATTTTGTTTTAAGATATAGACCAATTTTTAGTCATACTTCAAAAAAAATCAGTCATGTACAAAGTAGTGTTTTTGAAACACTTTAAAAGAATTTTGTTGAAAAAAATCAACACAAAAATATTTACAAAAATTAAACTTTTGACTTAAAAAGTTAAAATTATAGAAAACAAATAAAGTCAAATTTGTTAAAAAAACAATTCATTTTTTTTTTTAATTTTGTTTAAAGGAATTAAGTGAAAAATCATTGTTTCTAATGTAAAATGTAACAAGAATTATGATTCTGTAATAAAATTATTGTTTTGAGATACAGTTTTTAAGATATCAACCAATTTTAAGTCACGATGGCTTAAACTTAACTTTTTGGACAATAAAAAGTAGATATTTTCAAGTTTTCCCAATATACATTGTAATTGTCATAGTCATTGTCATTATCAACGTAGACTATAATAAAAACACTACAAAAACTGTACATTTTTAAATAAAAAATTTTTTGTCCAAAAAATTTTCAGTTCTTTCGAAAACTGTTTTTCAGGAAAATTAAATGAAAACAAGTTACTCAAGAATTATAAATACGTAACCAGATTTTAACTGTCTTTCTTTGTAAGATACAGACTGATTTCTGTGTTAGGCCAAGTCTGGTCAGCTCAAGACAAAATCTAATTAGTGTGTCAGGAGGGTTAAAAACAAAATTTCCTGACAATCTTCGAAAAGATTTCTTGGAAAAAGAAATAAGAGGTAGCAACTGTCGAAATAAAATCAATTCGAAGACTAACCAAAATTTTGGTTTCAAAAAAACCTACCTGCAATTCCGGCGAAAGCAATGCCTTGTGGAATCTCAGTTAAACCAACAGTAAAACCGGCCAAAATGTCTTGAAACAAAGTACTGAGAGTGTATTTGGGCAACCATGTGGTTATGGGTACCCTTTTTTTGAGTGTTTCTTTGCGAAACAAATTTTTGACGTACTCTGAAACTGGAAATTGAATTTTATTACGAAAAGATCAGGTGGATTTAGTTATGGTCAAAAATTGGCTGCTTCAATCTTTTTCCTACTTACAGTACATGCCCGCAATGAGGGGAAGTACAGGACCAGTCTAAAAATTGTCAGAAAAATAAATTATCAAAGTGTCTCTGATTGATTAAGTGGCTGAGCAGCAAGCAACTTAATTTGAAATCAGAGCTTTCGCGCTAGAGAATCGTATTTAAGGTTGCATACCTTGATCCATAATGGGTTGAAAAGTGCACTAGACTGTTTTTTTTTTGCACCAGTGTACTATATTTATAGTTGTTATCTCCCGGATCACTTAACGCATTTTTCCAGTTGATTGTTTTTGAGATGGATGAGATAAACGTGGGTTGGAAGACTGTTTTTCAACGACAAAATGAATTTTTTCCGCTGATAATTTAGTTTAAGTCACATGATACTTCCACTGCTATTTATTATAACGGAATTTCGAACGTTTTGTCGACGTTTCGAAATTGTCGTAATTGGAACGTCCTTGAACAAGAGATAAAGCACTATAGAAAGATAATATTTTATATTTTATTTGTTTATGAGGTTTGATTAGTGGCGAAAGTTCAAGTTGTGGGTCTGCCAAAAATTATTTTGGTAAGTTATCTGTGGTCACGTTCGAGCTATTATCACGAGATAATAGGCCTTAATCGAATAATTGATGTGCTGTAACACAGTGATAATAATGTTTTAGATCTAGGCGGCTTCGTATTTTATTGAAATTCATATCTGCATATCTCTGAAGCATTAACTTTATTATCATATCTTACGCAACGATTATTATTTTATAAATGCATAATTTAATTTCTGACGCCAAAAATTAAGTTGAGAATTTTCTTGCAATTAGACATTTTTTATTACTTTTTTTCAACACTAATTCCTTATACTGTTTCTATGCCGCAGCTTAACTCTTATGTTGCTGTTAAAATACGCTTCATCCACAGGGTGTGTCAGGATTCGCGCACCATAGAAAAATTTCAAGTAATATAAGATACCAGGAACATGGAAAAAGTGTTTAAAAAATTTAATCTGTCAAAAAATTTTGATATTTATTTTTTGACATTTGACATTTTTTTAATGTCTATTTAATGATACTAATGATCTTGTATATGTTTTCTTATAATTATTTAGTAAAAGTACAAAAAATTTGCCAATAAAAGTCTCAAATAATATTAAACAGAGTTACAATTTAGGGTACAGCTTCCTTGTTTCCTCTTTTAATAGACTAGCAAAACAAATTGAAAAATTATTTTTCCAACAGAAATAAATAGAATCAAAGTGGAAAATTTAAACTCTCATAACTTCGAAACTTTTATAGATAGAATTTTTTAAACATTTTTTCTATGTTTTTGGTATGGCACTTTTCTCTGGAGCGCGAGTTCTAGCGCAGCCTGTATAAAGAATGTCGTCAATAGTTTGTTATGAATCTATAAAATACACTGATACATATTTTTTGTTAATTTTGGCATTATTTTGACATACTTCTTTAGAATAATTTCTGAATTTTGTAAAATTTCTGATTCAATATTAGTGTTGCAAAAAATCTTGAAGGCAACAATATAGTTTAAAACTAGTTATCATTATAGCTATTTAGATTTATTTCTTATTATGAAATTTTTTTGAGATCAAATTAAAGCTGTAATTGTCTATGGCTAGAAAGTTGCAAAAAATCGTTTTTCGGAATCTGAAATAAAAAAAAATTGAGATATTGTTTAATCTATAAGTCAAAGTTGTCAAAAAACAATATTCTGGAAAATGGTATTTTTTAGATTTTTGGAAAATTGTTAAGTTGTTAAAAAACGATTTTCTGAAAATAGAAATTTTTATATTTTTGGAAAACTGATTAAATCTCTAATTTTGAGTTTTATTGAGTTAAACTTTCGATTAATTTAAAAATTTTCTATTATGTTGAAAATTATATAAAAATAGAAAGTGTTTTTAGCAATTGTAAATCTGTAATTGAGGAGCAGACTTTCAAAATGCAGATTGTCTATGATTTTGTGAATTGAGATAAAGGTTTTTAAAGTTTTTTTTTGTAAAATGCCTAAGTACTCCAGCCGTAAAATTAGTGTCCAATTGTATCCAATTTGTACATATTTTCTCACATTTATTGTGAAAAATTAATATTATTAAAATATTAATAAAAAATTAAAATTATTTCTTAAAAAAAGGGCAGTTTTTGTTCTCTCCTGTAAAAATGCAAATTTGGACAAACTGTGGATATTTAAAAGAGTAGTGGAAAATAGGACTAAATCGAGGCTTTTAAAATGTAAATTAATTTTCTAACTGTTAAATTAAGAATTGAAATCTAGAATTAAAAATATACTTACAGTCAAAACTTGTTTAACATTAAAAAAAAAAAATGATTCCACAAAATATTTCCAGTTTTTGATATTTTTTTTAAGAAAAATTGAAAGAAAATATGTGTTCTCAACGTAAAATAGACTTTCAATCTATAAATATATTTTTAATGCAAAAATTAGTTTTGGAGATATCGACCTATTTTTAAGTCAGGTTATTGGTCAAAAAACACGACTGTTTAAAAATGCTACGAGTAAAAGTTTTACCGTTAAGACATGAAGTAAAAAGTTAAAAACTCCGTTTTATCGCCAAAGCGTTTTTACATTTTTCATGACATTTACCAATCTTGTCTCTTTCTTTTTCGCTGTTTCAGCAATTTCTGGAGAGGTACATTATATATCATCACCATTCGACATTTTGTACTACTAACTGCACTAGTTAAATTAATAAACTCTTTTGAAAATCTCAACTCAAATTCCAAAACTGTTGCGTTATGATTTCATTTCAAAGCGGTCTAATTATTTTGTTCATTTACTTGCTGATTGTAGTTCTCTAGACCTGAAAACGTTTGCGGATAAAATAGTATATGTTATTCGGGGTAAAAATGGTTTAGCTAAAGTATTTGCCTTACTGTGTTTGTCAAAAAATGTACAGTTTCGCCACATAAACTCACTCTTGACAAAATAAAATATACTAAATTTTGACCCTATTTTGATTTTTTCATAACAATTTTTGGTTCAATGTTAGTAGTGGAAAATTTTTTGAAGACAACATAAGTTTTTTAGTTTAAAACTCTAGTTGTCTTAATAGCTATTACACAATGCAAAGATTACAAATCTGTAAATCATTTAGTCAAAGTGGCCAAAAATATTTTAAAAAATTGTCAAATTGTCAAATTTTGACAATGTCTGGTTTACAATCAATCAGTTCGGCTGGAGTTTCCCGATCATCAGATCTTGAAACCAAATGTGAGTCCAATTATTCCTACTCGTGACCCAACCTAAACTTCCAGGTTGCCCCATACAACACCGATGGGTGTTTTGCATTCTCGCTTTTTTGGCAATTTTCATCTCCTCAATCATGTTTTCCCTCCCTTCTCTCCTACACGAGACTAAAACAATTTCATTGAAGAACATCAATGGTTCTGACTTTTGTTCCATAAATCATAATTTTACTCTAAAAGTTTCGGTTTTAAAAGACCCCAATTCCGCCACTAAGTACATCACATTATTTGCAATTCATTGGGGGTACTTATTGAGCTGCTTTCCGGCAGGAATTTTCTCTGACCAATTTGGGGGGAAGTACATAATGACTTTAAGTTTGCTTTTTTCCTCGTTTTGGTGTCTAGTGACTCCTGCAATTGCTGTTTTGAGTAAAAACAGACCTGGTTGGATGGCTGGAACGCAATTTTTCCGGGGGTTTTTCAAAGGGATTGTTTTTCCAACAATCATGTCTCTCCTTGCCCAATGGGCTCCTGATACCGAAAGGACAAAAATGGTGTGTCTAGTTTATGGTAGTTACTTCCTAAGCCAAGAAATATCTACTGAAATACAAAAATTTCTACCTGAAAAACAGTTATATTTCTTGTTTGGGTCAATAGGGGTTGTTTTTTGCTTCTGTTGGCACCTGTTTCTGTACCCAACCCCTGAAGATCACCCTTCTATTACGCCAAATGAACTAAAATTTTTGGACGAAAATACTGAAGATAGGCCGGTCAAAGGGCGAAAAAACATCCCATGGGCCGGAATCCTGACCTCTGGCCCTTTCTGGGCCGTTTTGATTCTCCAAATCGGGTTATCCTGGAATTGGGTCGTCTATTTTTACGCATATGACATCTATTTGCCCGGAGTTTTGAAATTCGAAGATTACGAAAACACAATATGGAGGATCCCTTTTTACCTTTGCTTCGGATTTGCCCTTATTTACGGTTTTATTTCTGATTGGTTTATCAAAGAGAAGCTTTTAAGTGTGACCATTTTGCGAAAAATTGCCGCTCTTATTGGTAAAAAACCCAGCTCTTGAATTGAAAAATAAAAAAATTGTTTCAGGTAATTCTGGTTCTGCTTTCAGTTTATTGTTTGTGATTTTTGGCGGTTGTCACAGCAATGCCGTTATGATTCATTTTACAGTCGGGTTGTGTTTCCAAGCACTCTTTTATTTGTCGTGTCGAGTCAATCACTTGGATTTGACGTCGAATTTTGCTGGAACGTTGATGGGAATGACGAGGATTTTTGATAGGATTTCAGAATATGTGGTAGATTCAGAGCTTTCCTATCTGCTAACGATAGAAGTGAGTTGTTTTTAGGCAAGTTTTGTTTTTTTGAATTTTGGTTTTAGAGCAGTTTAAGGCAGTGGGCCGGGTTGTTTTGGTTTACTTTTGGATTGAATCTTCTTTCGACGTGCGTTTTTTTAATTCTTGCAAGCGGGATAAGACAAGGATGGAATTATGTTAAATAAACCAAATTAAACTTTTATTTTGTAAGAAACTGTTTCTTAAGACCAAATATACAATTATTTTTGTTTTTTTTGCGTTTTTATTTGAGTAATAATGGGACCCAAGAAATAGTCATTTTCGTAAAAATTCTTAAGGTTTTTACTTAAGGTTTCAAAAAAAATTGATTTTCTCTAAACTTTCTTTCCAAATGAAACACTAAATATAAACATGTTTAGACTAGCTACCAATTACTTCTTGAAAACAAGTCAAAACATCAAATTATTTAATTTTTTTCTTAAATACTTGTCTTAGGATTTTTAACCAAGGCATTAGCCTATCTTCTAAATTAATTCTCAAAATTTGAAAATAATTACAGAAATAACTCCCGTGTCAAGGATTAGTAAATTCTTTTCGTAATTTTCTTAACAAAAAATGTTGAAAAGTGTTTGACTCCCAAAAACAGCGTTATTTTTTTTATTTCAGAATGGGGCTATTTTATATTTTAGACAGTACAAAAATTTTTATTATTTGCTTGCTCAGTTTTTTGATTAGACCAGAGACTGGTCTACAGGGTGTTCATTTTTGCGCTCCATCATGGAGATCTCAGTTATTATAAGAGATACAAAGTCGGTGAAACTAGGGCAAAGTTGCGTATTTTTATGCTGAACAATAATCTGAAAGAAAATTTAAAGTGTTATTTTCAGTTTATAAATTATTGAAAAAAACGTAAATTTGTAATTTTTGTTTTTATATTTCCAAGCGAAAACTAAAAAACCTAGACGTTTTTAACTAGAACGTTTTTAAAGCACTTTTCTACAAGGAATCTAAATTTGTCATCGTATTTTCCAAGGTGCTCTTGATATCAGAGTTACAACACTTTGGTTTTTATTATGGACGCCATATTTGGTTTCTGTATTTTTGAAAAGTCTTTTTGTTTTTGATTACAACGATGTAAATTTTACATGCTGATCAAAATTTAAAAAAAGCGTTTTTTCGAAGAGTGTTTTGGAAAAAACGCCACCAATTTTAGTTAACAAACTAAATTTTAACTTACTTATTTAAAAAGAATGGTTTTGAAATAGGAACAACGTGATAAACTAGAATTAATTCTTCGCAAAACAAAAAAGCACAAAGTTATAAAAGATGCTCGAATGCACTGTTTTAAAATTTAGTTTATTAAATAAAATCATTGGCGTTTTTCCAAAGCACTCTCCGAAAAAACGCTTTTTTTAAATTTTGGTCAGCTTGTATTTGATGGCGTCCATTAGAAAATTAAAAGTTGAGTGTTGTAACTCTGATATCAAGAGCGCCTTGGAAAATACGATGACAGATTTAGATTCCTTGTAAAAAAGTGCCTTGAGAACGTCCTAGTTAAAAACGTGTGGGTCTTTTAATTTTCGCTTTAAAAAATAAAAACGAAAATTACAAATTTCCGTTTTTCCCAATAATTTAAAAATTAAAAAGGATACATCAAATTTTCTTTCAGGTAATTGTTCAGCATAAAAATACGCAACCTCGTATCTCTTATAATACCTCCATTGTGGAGCTCGAAAAACGAACACCCTGTATATCTCAAAAACTGCTCAATGTACATACTAAAAATCTGATAACAAATTTGTAATCCTCCGATGCTTTTACGTGAGAAATAGTAATTTTATTTTAACTTTGATGAATATTTCTTGAGTAAAATTAGAAGTTTTTCGTGGAAACAATCAATTTTCTTAGAATATTGGATTTAGAAAATAAAAATTTGAGTCGTACTGATTCCTTAGGTCAAAATAAGAAAAAAATCTATAAACTTTGGCCGGAAATGCTTCCTAGGGGAGTTAAAGCTAGAACTCAAAATTATTTAACAAAATTCAAAAATTTAAAAAAAAAGCGCTTTTAAAGAAAAATTTTATAAATCTATCTCAACCCTTTACTGAAATAATTAAAAAAATACCCTTTGTTTGCCATCTTCAGGAGGCTGTAGCTCTGTCAAAAAGCTTTTTCGAACATATTTTTCTATTTTTACTTAAAGAATGACCCTCCAATAAAAATCCTAAAATGGCTATTTTCCATAATAAAAAGGCACAAAGATTGCGAATTTGAAAATTATTTAGTGAAAAACAATAAGAAAATTTACACTCCTTGTGACACCTTCCTCCGAATTGTCAAAATTTGACACTACAATGTCTGGTTTACAAACAAGCAGTTCGGCTGGAGGATCCCGATCCTCAGATGTTGAAACCAAATGTGAGTCCAATAATCCTTACTCCTGACCCAACCCAAATTTTCAGGTTGTGTGATACACCACCGATGGGTATTTTGCACTCTCGCCTTTTTGGCAATTTTCATCTCCTCAATCATGTTCTCCCTCCCTTCTCTCCTACACGAGACCAAAACAATTTCATTAAAAAAAATGAACGGATCTGACTTTTGCTCCCTAAACCATAATTTTACTGTAAAAGTTTCGGTTCCAAAAGACCCCAATTTGGCCACTAAGTACATCACATTATTTGCAATTCATTGGGGGTACTTGTTGAGCTCCTTTGCGGGAGGGATTTTCTCTGACCAATTGGGGGGGAAGTACATAGTAACTTTAAGCTTGCTTTTTGCTTCGTTTTGGTGTCTAGTGACTCCTGCAATTGCTTTTTTGAGTAAAAACAGACCTGGATGGATGGCTGGAACGCAGTTTTTGAGGGGGTTTTTTAGAGGAAGTGTTCCTCCAGCAACCATGTCGCTGCTTGCTCGATGGGTTACTGATACAGAAAGGACAACAATGAGTTGCCTAGTCTATGGTGGTTACCTCCTAGCCCAAGAAATATCCTCTGAAATGAAAGAAAAACTAACGCAAGAAATGTCCTATTTCGTGTTTGGTTCAATAGGGGTTGGTTTTTGCTTCTTGTGGCACTTGTTTTTGTACCCAAGTCCTGAAGACCACCCTGGTATTACGCCCAATGAACTGAAATTTTTGGACGAAAATACTGAAGATAGGCCGGTCAAAGGGCGGAAAAAAACCCCATGGACCCGAATCCTCACCTCTCGTCCTTTCTGGGCCCTTGTGTTTCTTCAAATTGGGTTATCGTGGAACTGGGTTGTTTATTTGCACGCCTATAATGTCTATATGCCCGGAGTTTTGAAATTCGAAGATTACCACCACACAATTTGGAGAACCCCTTTTTACCTATTCTTCGGTTTGGCTCTTGTTTTTGGTTTTGTTTTCGACTGGTTTATCAAAGGGAAGCATTTAAGTGTGACCAATGCGCGAAAAATCGCCAGTCTTATTGGTAAAAAAACAGACATTGAAGTTAGAAACTGAAAAATCGTTTCAGGAAATATTGGATCTGCTTGCAGTTTCATGTTTGTGATTTTTCGCGGTTGTGACAGCAATGCCGTTATGATTCATTTTACAGTCGGGTTGTGTTTCGAAGCGTTTTTTTATTCGTCGTGTCGAGTGAATCATTTGGATTTGACTTCGATTTTTGCTGGGACGTTGATGGGAATCACGCAAAGTGTTGATAGAATTTTAGAACATGTTTCTGATTCGCAGCTTCCGTTAAGGTTAACGGCAGAAGTGAGTGGTTTTTGGTTGAGTTTTATTTTTTGAGTTTTGGTTTTAGAGCAGTTTGACCCAGTGGGCCGCGTTGTTTTGGTTCACTTTTGGATTGAATCTTCTTTCGACGTGCGTTTTTTTGGTTTTTGGAAGTGGGATAAGACAAGAATGGGATTCTATTTAATAAACGATAAAAATCTAAACGCAAACATTTTTTAAGTCCAAAAATACGTTGAAAGATTTCAGGGGGTGAAATTAAGAAAAAAAAAACTTTTTTTCTTATTTTGACTTAGGGATCCACTCCCCGAAATCTCTTATCGTTTTTCCGGACCCACTGTATAGTTATTTTGGTCTTTTTGCGTTCTTATTTGGGTAAAAACTCAAAAATGGTTTGTGTTTAAATCTTAGATTTTGTTCAAAATAGGTCAAAACTATTATTTTTAGACTACTTGACCTAGAGATTAGCGGATATCTCAAAAACTGGTTGTTAAAATTCAAATTTGATTAGAGAGTCATAATCTTGGCACTATTTTACGTTAGGATTAACAAAAAAATCATTTTTAACCGACTTTCTTACGGTATTTCTAAATTAGGACTTGAAAAACGTAGAGTTCCTATATTTTATTTGTCAATTTTTTTGACCTTTTGTTAAATTTAAACGAAGCGCTATTGATTTATATTCCATTTTATTAATTATTTTGTACTTAATCTTAAAGAGTGCTTTAATCAACTAATTTCAGTAGATAAAGTAGCCTTTTATCGTCTAGTAAAATAAAGTAATTTTTATCTACTGTTTAGATATAAGAAATTCTGGTAGGAAAGAACAAAATAAAACGAAATATTATACACGACGATAAATATTGTTAATCTACTAGTGAAAAAAGTCCACTCGTGACTTTGTCACTCGTAAATTTAACCTTTTCACTCGTAGATAAACAATTTCTTTATTGTCTTGTATAATAAATAACTTATACATTCGTCAGCCGACGTGTATAAAAAATTAGAAAATTGACATTCAATGTCTACTACTAGAAAAAAACGGCGATTTTCAATCGTTTTTTAAACCAGTTTTAAGAAAAATTTGAAAGACTTGTGCATATTGCAGAGTTTCAAGTGGGCGTTGCTTTGGGCGGCGCAAGGAGAAGGGCACGGGTATGAAGCTGAGATAGGCGCATTGACAACACGAAAGTATGGGCGAGGGGTATTTTGCACTTAAAGAGAGGTGAAAAGGAACAACTAATAAGCGCTGAGTATTTTAAAACAAGCGCGTAATATTTAGGGATTTTCTGAATTCCTGTTTTTTGACATAAAAATGACATTTACGTTTGCGCAAAAAGTACGCTTCAAAAGTGCCAAACTTTTGTTGTTGTGTGTTGTCGCGTGTTATCGTAAGTATTCAGCAATTATTTGTTTTATTACTTAAACAATACCATAAAATTTCGATTACAGTAGTCTGTCGGTGAGTGAATTCGTGCTGTTGGAAGCCAATTAAAAGATAAGTATCTTTTCACTCGGTGAAACTTCGTCTTTTTGATTTTTGTTTCTTTTTACAAAGGAATCGTTCTTTGGGCTGGAGTGACGGATTTTTGATTTCTGCTACTCAAGTAAACTTTTGTCATGGCTGGTTATCGAAAATATTTCTGTAAGTACCCTGGCTGCACCAGTGCCGAACCCCGTTGAAGGACATGCCAACAAGCACTTCTTCACGTTCCCTAAAAACCCAAAGCTTCACAAGCCCAAGCCCTGTGTTTTGGCTTCACAAGAGAAGTTTGTTGACATTTCACAAACAAATCTTTCTGTGGCAGATGATAGTTTTGTGGAAAATTCAATAAATCATCCGTCTTGTACTTGCAATTTGCCTTCAACATCCAATGCAAGATGTTTTGCTCATCCACTTCCTCTTTTTGAAAACAATGAAATAATAAGCAACGAGAATGTTCAACAAGACCATAATTATTGTCAGGGTACTAATGCAATCACTGGGAGGTGCAAAAAGTTTGCTTTCTTGAATGAAGGTGACAAGAATGGCATTTTAAACAAAATGAGACTTTCAAGGGCAGATTTGGCATGTTTTGCCTGTCTGGAGCAGAAAACATGCCAACACTGACTGATTTTATAGATAATAATACGTTAATAATAATTTAATTTTCAGAGAAATTTGATTTGTTGTATT